CTTGGTTCTATGGTAGGTCTTAAAGGGTTAATGGATTTGTGTATTTATCTGAGTCAACTTATATATTTTTCACTCCATGTAGATTAAAGAAAATCCCAAATAAAGGTAAACTGGTCATTAGAGGTTTAAATATGAAGGTTTAGGATAATCAGTTCAATGAAGCACATGTTGCAGTAAAAACATAGTTGCCACCTTCGAGTCAACCTGAATACAATAATAAGCTTTTGTAAACTAGTTGCTGTGATGCATGAGTTCAACGAGCCACATGGTGGCAGCATGGTGATGCGCTGGTTAGCATCTCCTCACAGCAAAAAGGGCTCCTGTTTCATATCCCATCTGTGGCCATCAGTATTCCTCCTCATACTCCGGCTTCCACCGGAATGAAAATCAATGACTTTCCAAAGACATGGATGTTAGGATTACCTGATGATTCTAACCTGGTCATGGATGGAGTGCTTTGTTTGACTGGAAGGTTAAAAATGGCTTGTAGTGTAAAAATGTTTTAAGTAGTCAGTAAGACTAGAAAAGTGTTGTTCTGTTCCAGTTCACAGATAACTACACAGGAATCACACACATGTACTGCAGACTGCTTTTCATCGCTGTTTCTATTATAAAAAGCTGTTCTCTTGGAAATTAGTGAATCCACCCCAGCTGGATTTTAACCAGCTACTGGTTCACATGTGGAAAAGTGAATTTTAACTCCCTCTCCTAGGAAACGGTCGTCGCCGCAGCATCTCGTGCCCCAGCTGTAATGGGCAGGCAGAGGGCAACAAGCTGCTGGCGCCCTTGGCTCTGGCATGTGGAGCAGACGGCAGCATTTTCGTTGGCGACTTCAACTACATCAGAAGAATCTTTCCCTCTGGGAATGTTACCAGTGTCATGGAGCTAAGGTAAGGAGATCCACTGCTCCTGTTGGAAGTGAAGCCTAATCCAGAGAATACATTCCCTGGTTTCACAGAGATGAAGGCTGTGTCCAAATTCAGAGGCTGCATCCTTCAGAGGCCGCGTTTGTAGGCTGTCCAAATTCCAAGGCGGCTCCAAATGCAGCCCACAAGTGCGTCCTCATTTTCCCCAGATTTTAAGGATGCTATATCCTTCGTGGCCTACCCTATCCCAGGATTCATTGCAAATCAAAGGTTGAAGAAATTGTTTGGAGAAAATGGCGAAAAGTCGAAGCGAAGCGGTCCGCAAATAAACTTTTAAAAGTAAGTACTGGGTTTTTATCTCACTGAAATATGCAGCAGAACAAATGTTAGCATATTGAAAAGTCTTCAAATGTTAAATTCTACTAACCTTTGGCTAAGTTACGTGACGTCAGCCTCTTAACGCAGCTCAGGTCATACAAGCTCTGGCTGGTTAGTTTTTTTACTGAAGCTGGGTCTGCTTGGCGCTGCTCAGCGTACTTAACGGTTTTAGGATAAACCGAGCGGACGGTTCGCTCTTTAAGCCAAGTGTGTTTGCGGGGACCAAACATGTGGCCCGTGAACTGTGGTGAGGACACAGACTCAACCACGCTGTGGTTTACAGCTGGAGGAGATCTCAGCCTGTATCGAGACACTAACAATGAGACGGACAGTAGATGGAGAAGTCCTCCTCATGTTTTTCTCAGGCTTATATCAAACGACCTGAGCACGTCACCCTTGTTATAAAGATCAACACTCTGCAGGATCGTAAGTCCTGTTTCCATTTTCTCTTAGTTTAAAAAACTGTCCATGTGAATCTATTAGAAAACTGCATTTTCATCTGAACGTTGACAGATATTTGATAATGTTTTTGCTTTAGTTGTTAACTGCCATGGTTGATTTCCTTCTGCAAGTGTCCAGAGTCAGGAGAGACTGAGCAGGTGAGAGGAGACGGGACGAGGCTCTCCACCCCTGAGACCAGGAGCAGTGTGTGAGGAAGAGGAGGAGAAAGAGGAGCCAGCAGCAGCTGAGAGATGCAGAGGAGAACAGGGGGAGAGCTGACAGCTGTTCTCTGTAGCTGAGGGACTGGTGGAAATATTTAAACAGTTTCTCGATATTTGCTTCCTGCATCTCCAACACATACAGGGAACCACTCACTGCTGTTTATCCTGCAGGATCTGACAGGGAAAGGAGGAACAGTAAAGGGACCCACGGACACCTTTGATAACAATTTGTTTTATCCAGAACATATTTAGTTAAAGTATTGTTTTTATCACAGTGCGTATGCAGCTCATTTAAATAAAGAGTTCAAAGGGCTGTGAAAAGTTGTCCCTTCATAAAGTGTGTCAGTATTTTATAAGGATGTGATGTTTCTGTGTCATCTCTCCTGTTAGAGCCTCTTACACAAACCTGCCTGTTTAATGCTCTCATATCTTCAACATCTTAAATTGCACAGTTTTCTCATCAATAAAAGAATATTCACTGCATCAGCTTGTCTTCCATTTTTTCTGAAACACGCAAAGATCAAATCTTTTAGTTTATTTTATACCACCACTGAGCTTTGCTTTTCTTTTTTCAAAAAGCTGTATGTACAGTAAAACATGATGTAATCCTTTTACATTTGCACCATCAAAATGAAATGAGGCTAGCCTCATGAACTACAGTAGCAAACTAGTTTGCTAGCTAAAGTTAGCATTGTTGGCTCAGTGCATGGTTGTAATGTTCTCCCAGATGCATCACACACACATGAAACAACAGTTTTCTCAGATAAAAGTCAAACATATGACATAAATATTTCCTGCATTTCTATCGAACATGCCGTCCACCACAGCTGTAGCTGCTTATGTGGCGGTTGCTAGGCAGACCGTCCAGTTTAACAGCCTTGCACTTCCGGTCTTTGTGGCCTTCGAAGGATGTAGCCCCTTAGTTTGGACACAGCCCAAGGTCTTACCCACAGAACTGAGAGTCCTTTTTCAAGAAAGCGTTGCCAAACCATTTCATCCAGCTTTGCCTGGTAACTGTAAATATTCATGAGCTGATGTAAAACAAAACAGGACCCAGTGATTTGTCAAAATTACCTGATTTAAGAGTACTTAATGTACTACATTTAATGCTAATAGCAATGCTAACATAATATAATGTAATGCTAATTTACACCACGGAGCCCTACATTCAAACAGGTTTAACACTGTCTGGACTTGAGAAACAGGTGTTTAAAGTTTTAGAACATGTTGAGTGCCACGATGTCACTGGGTTGGTTGGTTTCTGCTGATAGAATTACATTAGCTAACATTCATGTTAGCTAACTAATGAAGAACTACCAACATAGTGGAAAACGGCCATGTTTTAGACTAACATCTCTTTCATACTGATTTCCATAATTCATCCTAACTGTTGCTCATGCTGTAGTATTTTTCCCCTAGAGCAGGGGTCCCCAATCCCAGTCCACGAGGGCCGGTGTCCTGCAGGTTTTAGATCTCACCCTGGGTCAACACACCTGAATCACATGATTAGTTCGTTACCAGGCCTCTGGAGAACTGCAGACATGTTGAGCAGGTCATTTATCCCTTTAAATCAGCTGTGATGGATCAAGGACACATCTAAAACCTGCAGGGACACCGGCCCTCGTGGACTGGGATTGGGGACCCCTGCTCTAGAGAGTTATTTGTAATATCAGCCGAGCACCAATCTGGTAACTAACTTGTGTCTCTCTGCTTTCTTGGGTTTTCTGGCTTTTTTTCAAAGAAACAAAGATTTCAGGCATAGGTAAGTGTGACTAATCCTTCTTCAACCTGTAACTTCTTTTCGTTCCACCATCGGTTTTTGCACCAGATTTTACTTTGTTTTTGGGTCTGCCGCTTGTTTTTGTTCTCATTTCAATCACTTACATTTCACTCACCAAATAAAGTATTCTGGGAACTGAATGATTGAATGATTACAACAATGATCGCTCTCATCAGAGAGAACAGAGAATGAAAATTTGGGAGAGAAGAAGTCCTGGCATCTACCACCAAAATGAGACGCACTCATCTTGTTTTTTTCATCCTGCTTGGTTGTTAAACTTCCTAATTTTAAAAAGTGTAAACATGAAATCGAGTCTATTCTTCTCCAATCTGCTGAACAGCACACAATCCTCACAATAGGGGTAGGCCCTAGGAGGGGTTGCAAGGAGAGCATTTGCGAGGGGGGCGGGTACAGACGGTGTGGATATCCGTCATATCTTTGTTTCTTTATCCCTTCACTTCTCAGGGACATCTCCACCTTCCTCTTTGAATTCATCCAAGGTGTAGCTACATGTGCACATACAGAAATACTTGATGCTGACTTCATATTACCTTTAACAATAAATGTTACCATGTAGGGCATAGTAACATTACATTTCCTTTTCCCTTATCTGACACTAATTATTCATTTAAGATCACATTTAGTTAATTACACTTTGGATTTCGAGTGGCTGGATTGCCTGTTTTGGTCTCCCAATGGCAAAAACAGTAATGATACATTTGTATTGTTTATTTGCATAACGTGCAAATCACAGTAGTAGTTGCCTCAAAGGCGCGAAGCGTGTGTGAGTGTGTAAGCCATGGTGGACACTTTGCTCACTCACTATCTGCCCCCTAGTGGTAAAGAGTTGCATTACAGTTTGGAACTTTAAACATTACACAATACTTAATCATGACATTTATAAATAAATTGTAATTACAATGCAATATTTTACATTGCTTTAAATTAAAAATATCTATATTTTTGTTGCATTGATTGGCTAAACAGAGGCACTGTGTTGCAACGTGATTAAAGACAAATTACCATCAGTCTGTTGAGAAGATGAAGGAGGACTATGAGGATCCGATGACTGTAGAATATGAGAGAGAGGAGGACAGAGGATCAGTAAGGAGGAAGTGAGGGCAGCTATGAAGGGGAGTAAGAGTGGAGAGGCGGCTGGTCCAGGTGACATACCTGTGGAGGTACGGAGAGGTCTAGGAGAGAGAGTAGAAAACTTTTTAACAGGACTGCTAACACAATCATGAAGAGTGAGAGGATGTCTGAGCAATGCACAAGAGAAGAAGGCGGAGCATGCAGGGTGGAGTGGGTGGAGACGAGTGTTCTGGGTGATTTGTGACCGACTGAGAGCAGCAAGAGAGAAAGGAAAGGTTTACAAGAGGGTAGTGAGAGCTGCTGTGATGCTCTTTATACCACGCAGCTCTTTGTCAGATTATAATTAAAGACGTTGTTACAATGAACCACATGTTCTGCATATTAATTTGGATGATCCAAAAATCGATGAAAGTTGTCTTTCCCTGATCCTGTCAATGCTAGCATCTGTTTTTCGCAGTGAGCAGTCAGCTCAAATGTACTTCTCCAGCATCCTCAACATGTCCATACCCACAATAGGTTCTCTGACTTGTTCTTGAGTAGATTTTTCCTCCTCTTTCAAAATGAATTACAGCTGATCCCAAGTAACCATCCAACCACACACAAAGAGACTTTTAGATCAGAAGCAAATTAATAGCATTGCAAGCTAAACAATGAATAACAATGCAGCACAAGCTTTACTGGTCTAAGGCTGGAAAAGTCTCCACCTGTATGACTTCTGAAGTAACAAAGGCAAAATAAAAAAAATAGCGTCTGAAGGAAACTGAGCTACATGTCGAGAGTTTACCAAACACACCAAAGCTAAGCAATAAGCAGCCATGCAGCAACACACATCTATCAGAACCATTAACACAGCTGTTTCAGTGTCTTCCAAATCGTTAAGTCCCCATTATGAGGTCTAGAGGAGGGTGTGGGAGCAATAAATAGAGCTGAGTCAGAGCTTAATGGGCTTTATTTTACAAGTCTTAACACAAGGCAATGACAGTGTCACTGTATTAATAAGAGAAAAAAGGAGAAAAGTCACAACACCAACTAACCTATGTGGGGGGGGCCCACACTGCTCCCAGAATCAGGCGCTTTGTGAAAACACATCACTTAAACACTGAAATGATTTCTGTTTTTTTTATTACAGGTGTATGAGTTCACAGCCTGTTGCTCTATTCTTTTATTATTTCCTGTCTCCTATTTTCTTTTCCCTGCCCGTCAGCTTTGGCAGTAACATATTACACACTGTGCTGTGACTGTTAATGCAAATAATAATGATGGAAACTGACATTTCAAAAAGGAAGCTAAGGAAGACAAACTGGGTTCATTTTCGTGACATTAGATCATCAGGACATCACTGCGTTCAATTAGCATAAAGAGTCGGTCAGACCGATGGAAAGAAGCTGACTTCATTTTAGATTTTGACAGACAGACCAGGTCGGGTGATTCATGAGTTTCATTAGCTGCTTTGCCCTCCCTGAAACCAGAGACGAAGTCATTTGTGTTGCCTTTCATCTTTAGAACGTTTCAGTTTTATTCCAGTTTTCCTACATAAAGATTAAATGTCAGCGGCTGTAAAATCATTTAAACACTCCAGGAGCTTGGTGATGCCCTGATCCAGATCTGGGAGGAGATAACCCAGGACATCATCCAGCTTCTCATTAGGAGCACACCCTGATATTGTCAGGCATGCATACAGGCGCATCGGGGCGATACAGACGATTATGAGTCGCTGCATTTTCCCCTTTCAGGGTTTCTTTGAGTGGAGCCCTCTGTAGGTTCATCTCCATCAAAGCTGCATCTTTTCATTCCTACACATTAACCCTTTAAAACCGGTCAGAGTGGGCACGCTCTGTTTTGCGTAACTATTTTTAAATCCCGATAGCACTGCAACCATGTAAGGCAACGCAAAAAGGTTTTTTGCATATGAAACCGGAGGAGTTGTACTTACATCTGATGCCATCAGCTTGTCCTCGGTCACAGTTTCCTTCCACATATAGCTTTGCAAAAACTGCATAAAAAGCACTTGCAGCAACAAAAACAATATTCCAGAAACACGCTTTACCGATCCGATCAGCTGTTTGTAACACTTCCTTTGTTGGAATAGACGTCAGCGCAAACTATCGCATGTCCGCCATGACCTGCCGAAACCGGAAGTGATGTAATTTTCGTGGAAATGTAGTTTTTTACCATCAGGGCCTTATGAGCCTATGCTGGTGTTTTTAAAAGTTATGTTTGACTTTATGACTTTCTGTGTGGTTTCTGGGATGCTGAGGACTCATATTGCACTGCTGGAAATAGTTTATTTTGATGCAGATGTTGTTGTTTTTTTGCAAATTTGCATCATAATATTTATTTTTGTTTTTCCTGCAGTGTATGAAAATTGGTGGATTCCAAAAATAAAACTATGAAGACACTCAAAATAAATTTCCTGTGGTGGGACACTATTTTGTGCAACTTTTTTGTATTTACAGTTTTGAGGGATAAGCCTCTTAAATTTCTCTAACTAGAAATATATGTTAAAAAAACAAAAACGATTTTCAATTTTTTTGTAGTTTATTGAACTTTTTTGCAATTTATGTAGTTACTATGCACTTAATGCAGACATATTATTAAAATCTGGGTTATAATGGTTGTATTGATGTATAGCAACTTGAAATGCTCCCAAAAATGGCTCCACAGCATGTAAAAATATGATATAAGCTCTGGCGGGCTTGGTTCTATGGTAGGTCTTAAAGGGTTAATCACTCCCCAGTCCAGATCAGGACAGACATGCAGTATGTTTGGGTTTTTTCCTGCTGTTTAAGGTCTTCTTTTTTCTTTGGAGCAGGTTAGTTCTCTCCGCACAGACGTTTCATGTTCACATAAACACACTTTCTCACAAACATACATCACAGCTGCACTTAAATCTCAGAGACTGCACATACATATAAGCGCACGCACTAGTTACAGCATAGCTACACGGACCCAAACACCAACAGCTCCTGCAGAAAGGCTCCTTCATTTCCACGTCGCCCTCACGTTGGACAACAAGCGTTTAACTGAACTCGTGCTGCGACTTCTTCTGGAAAGTTAAAGTTAAACTGTCCGACGCTTCATAGAAGCCTTTTGGATTTCACCTTTTCTGCTTTTTGTATGTCTGTTACGTTATTTATTTACTTCCTGCATGAAGCTGTTACAGTACTCATTACATATATTTGCCTTACTGCACAGGCTGGCCTGAAGTGCATTATTATGTATTAACCAGTAAACAGTACAAACCGGAGGCTAAAGCCTGACAGACTGATTAGTGATCCTTTAACCAGCTAGTTGTTAGCATGCTGTCCTGCAGCTGCTCAGCATCAGTGTCATTTCAGCAGCAGGGGACAGCTTTTCCCTGCTTTTCTGTAACTTTTCCTCTTGTGTAATGAAATAAAAATTCAGTTTTTCACTCCTCTGAAGTTGTAGACTTGCACAGTTCGATCTTTATCTGTCCACACATTTAGCAGATTTACCTTGTGAAAGCAAACACAACAGTGTGATTAGTTTGGTTACTAAATGTGTTACAGCTGATAACTTATCAGGGATGTGACACAGATGTCATTCTAATGAGTTTTCTTCTGTCTTTCTTATTTGTTCCCCTTCACTGCGCTCCACAGCAACAACCCTGCTCACCGGTACTACTTAGCCACTGACCCAGTCACAGGGCAGCTGTATGTGTCCGACACTAACTCACGACGGATTTACCGCCCCAAAGTGCTCAGCGGTGCCCGTGACCTCATCAGTAAGCATCAGCATTTTTACTTCCTGTTATGAATGTAGTTGTAAGACAGTGTTGTCATACGAGACTCCAGTGAATCTGCAGCTTTGTACCTTTCTCTGGTTAATGCTTAGTGTGTGTGTGTGTGTGTGTGTGTGTGTCTACAGGTAATGGAGAAGTAGTGGCTGGTACAGGTGAGCAGTGTCCTCCATTTGATGAAGCGCGTTGTGGAGATGGAAGAAAAGCTACAGAGGCCCAGCTACTGGGACCAAAAGGTGCGTACACAGAATCTTTCTGTCTCCTTCTAACACACACACACACAC